CGTCAATTATTTATCGCTTAAGTTTTGAAAAGTTTCACAGTTTCTCGGCTGGACAGCAAATTCACTACGTTTATGAGGGAAAAGGCGTTCAGATACATTTTCAATGTTATTTAACGACGAACGTCCAGGTCTGTCACAAGATCAAAGACGCGAGGGATAAAGCAGATAGCTGTAATATCGACAAAACTGTGGTACCTCAGGGCAGGGTTCTCGAACGAATATTCTGATCAAACGGTGGCGAGATGAAAGGAAGCTGGACACACCCGCATCGCAAACATCTCCACAGTTCGTACTCTACGCAAAATCTAATTAGCGTGATCAAAACAAGGACGATGAGATGGGTTATGCATGTAACGCGCACGTGTAGAAAACTTTAAGCGTCTACTCGGAGTGCCTTGACGTAGACAGATGACAATATTAAAATGGATCTCAGGTAAATATAGTCTGGGATGCTGATTGAATTATAAGGACCGGCATCAAGCTCTTTTTGAACACGGTAATGAACATTCGGGTTTGACCAGATAAGCTTAATGTCAGCTTTTCAAGATAGTCTCTGCTCCGTGGAGTAAGTTAACAGTATCAATGCATTAGCCTGTTTATAATCTGCAAGCGTTTACAACGGAGATGTGGGCGGATAAGTGTCGCTAAAACAAGTGAACGTGTGATGACGTCATTTGGCCGAGAACGAGACAACTTCCCATAGTGCACCATAAAACGTGACGTCGTCGAGTGAGCATCTGAAACCGTCGCCAAGGACGCGAAACCAGAGGCTCCCTTCCACTGCGGTAAATAATAACAAGGAAGGCGCAATGACAATCGCTCGCTGGCGATGTTCGGTCTTCTCGACTAATTACTGGATCGTCAAATGCAATTCAATGTCCCCGAAGCTTAACCGAGCTCCAGGCCTTGATGACGTATGGGGGGTGAGCGTAAGTATAGCTCCACGTACTCTTAAAATCGCCAATAGACTTAGCTGAGCGGTCAGCTTCACAGCCCAGCTGTTTTAACCACGCCACCCAACAGATAGGAGGTTGGGTAGGTCCGGACGTTGCGGGAAAGACAAAAATCCTACTCCCGACGTTTACATTACTGCATTCAACTCCGATTAAGGTATTACGTTGTACCCCGCGACCGTTCTTTTACTGTAACAAAACTGATTTAATGCAACATAACAAACCCTTCAAATCCGAGGTTAGTCTGAATAATATTTAAGACGATTTTCCAATTGTTCAATGAATTTTGATTTCTACTTCTATTCTTTTACGTTCCACGGATGGATGGTGTGGTAATGCCTTTTTATTCCGGGACTTTCACTTTTTAATTTGTCCGGAGATAGGGATTAGCTCTATCTAGTGGGCCCAACTGTGTAGGAACCTGAAGACGGAGATAGAGTCCCATCTCCGAAACGTCGTTTTACGTTTTATATTTACTAGACGATGGAAGGTCCGGAGATAGGGATTAGCTCTATCTAGCAGGCCCAACTGTGTTGGAACCTGAAGACGGAGATAGAGTCCCATCTCCGAAACGTCGTTTTACGTTTCATATTTACTAGACGATGGATAATATCCAAGAAAGGTCCGGAGATAGGGATTAGCTCTATCTAGTGGTCCCAACTGAGTAGGAACCTGAAGACGGAGATAGAGTCCCATCTCCGAAACGTCGTTTTACGTTTTATATTTTCTAGACGATGGATAATATCCAAGAAAATTTTTATTCAATTGACTCCTCGCCATCGTCAAGAAGTTTTAGATTTGTTCTGTTCTGACCTCCACGTCGCTCTGCAAATCGATTTCCGTACGTGTGGGCGGTCGGGAGGTATAAATTGAGTTCAGAGTCGCCCTGTGCGTGATTGGTATGCTGCGATAGTAATAATTAAAAGCCCGAAGTGTACAAGTAGTTACAAGCGCGATTACATGCAACCACTTGTGTATACTGCGCAGATAGCAGCTTCGTGATGCACGTTCTACCTAAGAAGTTTATATGCATGGCTTTTACGAATACGACAAATGAATTCGCATTGGTCTGTCAGTACCTTGGCACATGACTCGGGAAACTGCAAGCGAAAACTTTCACCGTCTGATTAATCGTAACCCAACTTAGATAACGCGTATAAAAACTCCGAAGACAACGACTCTAGCAGACAGCTGCAATTTCTATATAACTCCATCTTATTCTTTGTCCAGCTGTCAAAATATTACCTGCCTTTGCAAAAACCATGTCTTTAATCAGCAAAATCCCGCCACAAGATTCTATCCACGCAAATAGAATCCAGTCTTATCCACCTTCCCAACTATCTATTTTAATATTATCTTCTACGTCTAGTCTCTACTCTTAAGCTTTTCCGACCAAAAACGTGTATGTATCTCTACCATGCGTGCTACATGAAACGCCTTTTTAATTCTCCTTTGGCAATATTTTGTGCAGATACCATAAACACAGTCGTAAAGTTAATTAACAAAATTACACCACTGGGATCTCTCCCGCTGTTTGACATCCAATTTCAAGAGAATCACGATCAGAAACGAAGAATAATATAAATCTAGGCCTACGCAATGCAAATGCACAACACATAATAAATATACTTCACGTACAAATGGATGGAGAATGAGCTAACTTCATATATTCCGCATAGAATCAGCACGCACATCTCCTGTTTGGACAACCCTGGTCCATAATGCGATAAAGTCAGAAGAAGAAATATGGCTACTGTCTGAAAAGACCAACCCTACTTTGTAGCTTGTTAACCTCTTCTGTGCTATTCACGAAATATCTCGATAAGAAGCACTTGCCTTCTTGAACGGAATCATGTGGTGTTTTGAGATGATAAGTGGAAGGAGGAGAAGAAGAAGAATAAGAAGAAAAAAAAACCTGTCCTGCCATCCCTAACGATATTCGTGAAATTTCAAAAACAGAAATTTTCGTTGCCAAGGAATTTAGACACAAACTATCGCCGAAAGGTTTAGGCGAGGTAAATTATTCTTCGAGTAGTTGGCAATGCAATACCGTTGCAGCAGAGGCGAGCACAGGGTCTGTAAGGTCCCGAAATACTCCATTTAATAAGCAATGACTCATAACCAATACAATACTGGCCTTGGACCATTCGCCTGCCGTGTCATAAACTCGCTTTGTAAGTCTTCATTTGCTGATTCTACTCTGTTTATTGACTTACAGCTCAGCCAGACTGCCATGATTGATGATCCGGTAGTTATGAATTGTTTCTGCGACTGAAACAATTCACTTTGATCTGATCACTTGAGAGGACACAATGACCTGCGAATGACGAAACGTCGGGCTGCCCTTGGTGCTTCTTCAGGTGGAGAATACGACAATCACTTCCTCATTCACACGTCCCTAACAGTCGCCTAACAGTTCCAGTCTTTGTCACGAAAAGTCTACTGTCTATAAGAGTCCGGCGCGTCCAACTTTGAAACTTAGTGCAGGGTTGAATTGTTCTCGACTTATTTAAGAGCGATGTTTCAAGACCGAAGGAAAAAAAAATCCTACCTTACCGGGAACTGAACTCTATTCGTCAAGCCACACTACCTTTTTCCGTTTGAAATTTCGACACACGACGAGGACAACAGCCTACAATTTGACAATCTTAAATTACGCACACAATCAAGCAGAACGCAAAACTGTCCCTCAATTAAACATCTAGGATCATTTCCAACCCTTCGGAACGTCTATTACAATCGCTCCGTCCGCCCATACACGTATGAAACTCGAAAGAGGACGAACACATTTTCATTAAATTTGGTACTGCGGAATTCAAAAAGATGTCAATTTATTTTAATCTGTAATTGTACTTTCTAATTTCAGTTACCACTTTACATGACAGAAAAACATTTTTCAGCTTATTTTGTTATATATATATAGCAACATATTAGTCGGTAATAATGCATACAATTTTACCAGCGTCAACACATTAGAATTTTCTAGCTATTTTCCGAAATTATTGAACTAAATCATCCAGCTCTTAACGCAGTAAACAATAATTTTTCTTTCTACTTTAACCTGGGGGTAGGGGGTCAGACTTCAGGAACTGACGACAGACATATTAAGTACTACGGTGCTGAGGTCAAAGGCCACTGTCCCATACATGTCTGACCTCAAATTATGCCTTAAGTGTTCCACCACGCGCAAAATTCTTTACTTGTCGGCAATAACCTTTTGAGGCGCAAGGTGGTATAATTAATAATTTAATAACAAGTTACTACCGCAAAGAAAACACAACACTTTTAAAGACGAACTGTATGATGGTGTTCAGATAATCAATCACTCTTTATTCTTAGAATCAAACGCAACACATAAATACACTAAGTGGTAAAAATGCTGAGTTGCCTATTATTAACCCTTCGAAACACGAACCTCGTCCAAATAATATTTAATAATTCAGTCCTTACCGCAGAGAAAACACAAGTGTTCGCCATTACAAAAATCAAATGGTTAACCTTGTTTAAGGAAATAATACGACTAAAACGCTAATTAACCTTTGGAGCCGAAGCTCTTTCAAATGAAACTTAAGAATTCAGTCCGTACCGCGAAGAAAACACTACACTTCACCATTACAAAGATCAACTGGTTAACCTTGTTTAAGGAAATAATACGACTAAAACGCTAATTAACCTTTGGAGC